AGTCGGGCAGCTTTTTGCCTAGAGGACACAATGTACCTACTGCCCGCTCACCCTGTCACATCTCCCCTACTCCCACTACCCATTTTCTGAATTCCCCAGCTGATAAATTTGAAGAGACAGAGAGACTCTGTGCCCAGAGAAACCACATTCAGTGGAACTGACAGTGCTCTGTCTAGGAGAAGACACGATGCCAGGGAACACCGGGTTTCCTGTCAGAGGCAAAGACAGCCAATTTCTCTGTCTTATCTTCTAATTGTAACAAGCTTGTCCTTTCTGATGGTTGGGGGTTTCTGGGGCTAATTAGTGAGACAACACTGAAGAGCTGTAGGGGTATCATTATGTCACTTCAGGGTTTTTTTTTTGTTGTTGTTGTTGTTTTTAAATCCAGACTGAAAGAATGACAGAGCAGGGAGCACACCGCAAGGAAAACACAAGTCCACAGAGAGGGATATCTCATTCTCCATAACAAAACGCTGTCAGAGAATAACATTTATCAGCTTCCTGGTTTGGGACTATAAATGACACAAGATTCACCATGAGTCCTGTGTGTATTCTCTAATACCTTTCTGTGTAATCTGTTATGCTGATGTCTGTGCATGTTAGTGTGTCCATGCTCTTGTTTATGTGCTGTGAGGTATGCAGGTATTCAGAGGTGGCAGGTTGTAATCAGTTGAGACGGAGCTGTGAGTCACACAATGCATACCAGGTACTGGAGGTCTCTATGAACACAGAACAGTCATATTCACTATACAGGCAGAAACTAGGCCGGGTGATGTGGATAAAATCTGTTTAACGATATTAAATATTCCCATTGTGTTGGATTTTGAAACAGTCACGTTGAAAATCGCTGTAGTCTATGTTATGTTTTCAGCCCATTCACTCTGTGTCCTTGGCTCTCATTGCTGTTTGCCACAGTGTCATAAAAGGTACTTCTACACATCCTACACATAGAGGACATTGTTAGTAGTAGGAAAGCTAATATGATTTGTCGTTCAAAGTCTGTGGCTCTTCTGTTGTGTAGAAGGCTGTGACTGGCTCTTACTCAGTGTATCTGTGTATCATGACACAGTGGTGTTATTTTATGCCAATATAGTTTATGAAACAATTTAATTGGTTATATGAAAACATGTTTTCCATCTACGTAGACTTTGCAATCATGAAACCAAAAATATATAATATACATTTTCTTCTTTTGTGAGCTGACTTTTTCTCTAAGGGAAACACAGGTGACTTACCGATTTAGATGCCATTTAATTTCCGTCTACATCCGACAAACTTCTTCCCCCATCTTAAACGAAATATCTATGAAGAGATACCTTCCTAACGCATCCCCAATGTATGAGATAGGGCACAAAATCCACAGTCTCCGTCCAGTGCAAAAATACTTCTTAAATTCAGTTGAAACTTATGAGGCTTGAGAAGTCTGAGCCAAATCAAAAGGGTGTCATACACTGTGAGTACAAACATTTAGACCTTTTTGTTACATCTCTCTACTGCAGGTCAGCAATGAAACTCAATAAGGAGATTTCCAAATAAAAAGACTAAATTTAGAAGATACCTATTTGATTTGGCTCAAGCTGAAGCTTCATATTTGATTTCTTACATTAGAATCATATTAAGAAGAACTCGCTTCACGGCCAGTATGGAGAAGAGATGAAGAATAAATACACTGATCAACAACTCAGAGTACATATGGCAGTGGTCAGCAATAGGCGGCCCGCGGGCCAGAACTGGCCCACCAGCAATAATATCTGTCCCACGGCCAGATTGCTTTGATTGCAGAAAACTAAAAAAATAAATAAATTTATAGCGGCTGTTGCTGAAATAGATATCTTGTCATGACAGCAACAATTACTCATATAATCACTTCCTCTTAAGTGATTGTGCCTACAAGATAAAAGTACGAGAACAGTTTTTGCAGCAATGCTTCATGTTGAGTTTATTGAGAGCTTTTACTTTGAAAGGTTCTGAAGGATGTTCGAAAGAGTCTCTGGCATGCTTGACACACCTCTGAAAAAGCCGAAAGTAAATGTGTGATTGGATTCCCCTGAATTTTCTCAGATAAATGAAAATAAGCATCCATAGCTTAATGAATGCGGATTAAACGCCGGCAGCAGTGTGTGCATGTCCTTATAGGATTATCAATTTGTTTAACAAGGGAGGAAAAAAAAGTCACTGGATTTTGGGATTGCTCACACAATCCCCTCAACAGGAGTCCTGCACTCTACCGACGGAGCTAAACGTGCACATGAATTGGTTATCCAAGGGCAAAGGCTAATTTTACAATGTTCTGGCCCGTCATGTAACGGCTTGAAAAAATTTGCCGGAAGCCAGACTTATTTTCCAACCCCTGACATATGGCATGTGAGTACGTCTGCAGCAGTTTAAGCTGGGAATAATTGTGTTGGAGCTCAATTCCTGTCAATACAGCTGAGGCGTCCCATTCTGCAGCCAAGGACGACACTGACCCAATGTGAGACAGAGCAAATTCTATGCCTGGGTAACTCGGGACAAACATACCACTGAAATTACTGGCTGTCTAGCTGGCCAGGACAATACCCTTCCCCAAGGCTACTTGCAAATGTCTCCTACTGGAAAAGAAGGATGCCTTAGAACTTCCCCCGAGCTGACATCTCCCATGACCTATTTTCATTATGGCTGAGGGTTGGTGACTAGCTGCGGAGTGCTAAGTGGGGAAAGGACAATACACAGATGAGAGCTCACACAATGTGATGATAGCTGTTTGCCCAGAGTCTGACCTGAGCTATGACTAATACTAATAGTCTAATTTGAAACTTGAGGTCTAGGCTGGTTTTGCTGAGTGAGAAGGAAAAAAAGAAAAGAGATTAGATACTCTGAGGAACAGGAAGCAGTGTTATTTATAGGCATGTGAGGGGCTTTTCCCCAAAAAGCCGGTTAAAAGGAAGTTGGTGATCTCCTCAGAGATGCTTAAGAGGCCAAGACCACTGCTAGGACAAGATAGGGAAATTTGGAGAGCAGGGGCAACAGCATGTGGTCCCCCAGGAGTAGTTGAGCCACGCAGGTGTTGGAAGTTAAAACGTGACAGGGTGACATCTCTCCACAGGTGATGGAGAAGGAACAGGGAGCCAGGAACTAAGTAATGCTTACAAAAAACAGCAACACTTTACCACACGACACAGCCCTAGGGCAAGCTAAAAGCACTCTGCTGGGTGTACCAGTTGAGCCCATCGTACACACGAAAAAACAAACAGAGCATAAATAAAATTCAATGCAGCTTGCGTAGTGGAAAGTCCCAAAAGGCACCATGAGTGAACTTCCACACCACAAAACCTCAAGTCATATACACAGAGCCCTACCCTCAGGATTCACACACTGTACTAACTCGTCTCAATATCCTCCCCCTCATCCAAGCTTGTGACATTTGCACAGAGAGCCTTTAAGGGGGGGGGGGGGGGGTAAAGAGGGAGGAGAGCTGGGGAAGGGGGTAGCTTGCTCCTCCTCTCCTCTCTTCTCTCATTAGAATTCTCTAATCAGTCTTCCCCATGAAGCGGGGGGGGACATGTCAGGGTTTATTAATCGCTCCAGGAAATATTATTGACCTGGACCTTCTGCTCCCTCTCTCCTTGCTGCAGTCAGTGTCTCTGCTCTGCTGCCTTCACATTCCTACGGTGTCCTGCCTGGACACATTACAGGACACTGCGGCACAGCGTGGAGGATTCAACACACAGTGTCTTCATTGACTATGCACTTGGCCTGGGCTTTCTTTTTTCGCCGCAGCTGCAAAGCACCATGCCGCACACACACACACACACACACACACACACACACACACTTACTTGGATTTCAACTTTTAGAGAGATTTTAGTGTGAAAAAAAAAAACACCTTTTAAAACTGCATACATCTCAAAGCTTATTGGTTTTTAAATCTTACCAAGAGGTACTTAAATCAATGTGATGTAAAACCCATTCTGAATGCTCAAACACAAAGATCGATCAGAGATCCTCCTTTATTCTCCCTCCTCAGCATTCTTCTGCTGGGAGAATATGAAGGAATGATCACAGTCACTCAGCTGAGCGTCACTGTGTGTAGGGGCTCTGGACGGAGCTCATCTGTGTGTGCATGTGAACGAGCGTTTGTGTTGGGTTTGATGTTATCAAAGGGGAGGAGGAGGTGTCAAAGAGCAGAGCATGATGTAGGTGTTAAGCCTCTTGCTGCCTGACTCTAGATTTGGCTCCCAGTGATCCGATATGTCCATTTTAGCGTGGCGTAAACCATTTATTCATAGTTCGATGTCAGCATGTTGTATGTGTGACTGTTTGTGTTGTGACATCTAACACGATAGCACACCAAGACCCTGCTATACATGCTATATCCTGGAAATGACATTTTTCAGGATGGCATTGCCACAGAAACAGCTGAAGGAAAACAGCTGTTATCAGTTCAAAGTGGCATTTACTCACATTAGTTTTGCTTAATCTGATCATGCACTGATTAAAGCATGAGAATATATCTTATTAGAGTAGTAAGGGGTCTTGTGTTGAGTTGGGATAGTTGTAATAATGGTATTTGTGGACACTCATGTAACTATAACCTTAACCAAACATGTGATCTTTTTTTCTTTTGAAAATGTAATTTTCCCTGGCCTGGATATTATCTTTGGATTTTCTCAATGCTTTGGTGAGGAGCCATGTTATTGTGGCCACCCTTGTTTTTCAAACATTGGAGTATTGTGCCTCCATGTGGCCATGTTAGGCATTACACTGTGAGCTTTATGACAAGACTAATGAATGACCAGGATATGAGTGTGTTGTTCCATTGTGTCTCCATGAACTTTGCACAAATGAGCACATTCCTAAAAGCAACAGTCATGAATAAAGAAATATGTCTCACATTTGTCAATGGCTTTTGTGTTTCCTAAATGGCGATATTATCCAGCGGTCATGTTTTCATGAATCCTCATTTTGCAGACACATCTGCTGCTAAATTTAATATCCGTCTTGATTTTGTTTTTCTGCAGTCACAATGGTCCCACTTCTGTTTTTGGTGGCAACCACAACAACATCCAATTCCACCGGCAATGGCAACCATACACAAGGTAAGAATAAAAACAAGAGCAATGCACCTTGACATGTGAGACTGAACACTAAACAATTTGAGATAGCAACACAATCCCATTGCTGTCCACTGCATTCATCACTTCACTCCCTAAGATATGATTACTATATATCTTTCTCAGCGCATGCATCTGCTTGATAATAGCCTTTTCTACAGCCTTGTTATTACTGGATCACAATGAACTTCAGCGGCCCTGGACAGTAATTTACGGCTTATTGTCTGTCTTTCTAAACACTGCTAATAGCTGGCTGTGTGGCTGTGACTCTTGGCTGAGTCTCCATTCTTAGAGCCTTTTATTTTCTGTTAGACATACCAACAGGACAAAATGAGCTGATACTTATCTCTACAGACAAAATATTGCTAAAGCCAGTTATTAAATCAGGCCTGTGGCCAGAAGAGAACATGGGAGGTGTGATGCTGTGCCAAGTATTGATTTTGTTTAATCAGTTCATGCAATATACACATGGCTCAAACACATAAATTCAGCCAAGCATTTGCACACTCTGATATATGCACATATATTGTCAGCCTTGGCCTCTCTTCCTGCTTCTTTGTTGACGGTGCTCCCTGAACTCCGGCTCTGCCTCTCCTTCTTCCTCAGAAGACGTTACAGTCCCCAGCCACCACATCCTCCCCACCGTGCTGGTCCTATCCCTGCTGCTGCTCATCGTTGCACTGATGGCCTGGTACTTCCTCAGGTAAAATCTGTCCCCCTGCAAGGACTCACCCACCTCACCCCTGTCCAGGGCCTGGCTAACTGGCTGTGAGCCAGGCTCTGTGGCAGAGCTCTGGGTGAAAAACACTTCCTCCTGTAGTCATTGAGGCGGAGCCCAGTCAGGAAGTGCTTCTAGCTGACTCCCTCTCATGCTTAGTAAGAAGAGAACAAGCAGCCAGGCTGTGACAGTGGACCTACACAGGCAACAGAGGAGAGCAAAGAACGAATACCTTTACCACATTCGGACTAGAACACTGTCGTTCGAGGGCATCAGCTAATGAGAAAGAATAGCTTCTCCAGCTTCAGATGGTAGGATGGATAGGCTTTTGTTCATGGCTATCTAGATAATTTGGGAAATCTTAAGTATTGTTTTTCTCTAATTAAAAAATACGGTTGAACTTATTTTACCATGGCTTCAGTGAATCTTGTCTTTTGTGCCATTGCTCTTCTTATTTTTCCGTATTTTTTTTCTGTCAGGTTAAAAAACCAGAGAAAAGCGGTCGTCACAACAGTCGACAAGAAGATACCAAATGGCATCCTGGAGGAACAAGGTAACATTGTTGTAAATTGGACATTGTAAGAAACGGAGAGATAGATTGCTGATTGTGATAGCGACAGGCTGGCATTCAAAGTAAGCACAGTAAGAATGTAGAGGAGACGTGCAGAAACATGAGGCAAAGAAAACGAAAGAAGTTAATACAGATAGTGGGAGGTGGAAAGGAGGCATCAGTTTTATGTTTGTAACTGAATGTGCAGGTTGTCCCACCACTGCATTGTGGTTGTGTTATACTTCCTGTGGTTAATGTGAAGAACAAAGCTGTGAGTGATCATCACCACCTTTTTATAGCTTTTTGACACCGTTTATAAAGCAAGTCCCTCACTGGTGCAAAGACCAGTGCATTTACTGTCACTGAGCTGAACAATTTAAATTATTAAATTGAATTTCAAATTAAGCTGTTTTGTGTGAATACGCTAACAGCTATTGGACAGGAAATGACATTTCTTGAGTGTGTTCTGTAGGAAGTATTTTCTTATCAGACATTACAATGGATTGTACAAAGTAGGTTGTATTCTTGCATATAGGAATGTATCTAACCAGGAATTTTTGGCTGGGAAACACACATTACACCCAGAAATAGCTGTAACAAACACGCAGTAAATATCAACATATTAGCTGAGCGGCTAATTACTGTGACTGTAAGCATAGCACACAGTCTGCTTTTTCATATAAGATTGATGTTATATTTAATTTTCACTTTGATAGTTTACTGCGAAAGCATTACATCATATATTCAGATGTATTGTAAGGCAGTTCTTATGTATAAAGAAGTTATTAAACATATACCTTCTTACACTGTTTTATAGAAATTAAAATTTATTATATTTGTTAACATATTAATTGATGTGTCACATGTGGGCATAGTAACTGCATTCTGTCTTATGAACATGATGTCAAAATGCTATTTTAATTACGGTATTGTTTTGCCTTTATGACTTACGCGCGTGTGTGTGTTTATGTGTATGTGCTGTATGTGATTTGATATGTGTTGTGTTTTTAGAGTTTGGATACAGTACAGAGTCGTTATACACCACTGTACCACCAGGTCAGGTATACGGGGTGGCGGTATTAGGAATCTCATATTACTAACACTCTCAGTATTTTTTCAACCTACAATTTCCAAATTGTGTGCGCTAACCAAATGCCTAGTCGGGTGCTTAAGGTTTCCATCCAAAAACCTGCCTACAGGGTGTTGTAAGTGACTTCTCCCTGGGGTCGTTTGGTTCTCTAACTCCTGTTGATGTTTGGGGATCAGTAAATACTTGCACTACTTGTCGTAAGATTTTAAATCAGTTTGCTAATCATTTTGGCCTTTGATAAGCTGTTTTAAAGAGTAGAATAGTTACATAAGCTTATTGTCTAATTCAGTGACTCCCAACCAAGGGTATGTCTGCAGATGCCAGTAGGTACATGGAAACTAAATCAACATATTGAGTCACCTGTAACATCTGAAATAGATAGCTAAAGTAATCAGTTTTAATAGTGAGCCAAAAGTAATAAAGAAAATAGCTGAAATGGTTAGCTAAAAGCACTCAAAATAGTAGTAGTGAAAATGCAAACTTCACCAAAGGCACTTAACACTGACAGTTGTATGAAAACGTTATTGTAATAATATCCACTTTTATATAGTTAATTTATATAAAAACATTTGAAACAGGACAGGTGGTTTTGTGACAGGGTACTTGAAGTTCATCTGATAGGCCTGTGTGGGAACAACTGGTCTAATTAAACCCAATTCTGTTACATAATTCCTTTCTCTGAACTGGTCATTTGTTAATAATTCAATAATTTGCTAAGTGAAATCAGTTATTTTCTTTAACACAACAAATAATACACCATCATAACATTAAACTATATCAGGCCAGCAGGGTTGATAAACCTACTGTTCTCCACACAGAGCAACAGACGGTGGTTCTTCTGCCCAGATCCCCTTCAGCCTCTAAGACCTACTTCCCCATCCCAGTGGACCACCTCGAGGAGGAGTACAGGCTCCGCTCTGCTGATGATGGCAAGCTCTTCAGGGAGGAGTACAATGTAAGCATCCCCCCTTCTCCGCCTGGAGGTTGGAGTAACAGGTGGTCATAAGGCAGAGTCTTCTGTGTTCTGTACAAGTGCTGGAAGAAGTGTTGGCATCAGGCATCTGGGGTTAAAGTCATTGTGGTGCATACATATACTCCATGAGTACACATGTAAGAGGTGTTTGGTGTTTTCATCTGTGGCAAATAAACCACCTATAAAATATCCAAAATTGGAGTTAAAGGGTTTTCCCACAGCGTGTTCATGAGAAGGCAGAAGACTATTGTGTGTTTTCTTCATTCAGGAAAACTACTGGAGCTATATGTGTGACATTATCCATGACACATACTGTACACATACACACCCACATGCATAAAAAATACCCTTTTGACTATTTGTGATAATTGAGGATCTGAGTCAAAGTACTCATGACTAATGGTTCATTTAACACATATATGTATGATTTTATTTAGACAGTTTGTCAGCAGAGACAGAGGAAGTTGAAGTTCTCTGCTTTTAATGGAGGACTGTTTACTGTAGGTAGCAGAGGAAGTGCCTTGCAATGCATTACACTGTTTTCCAAAATGGGCTGTTGTGTAGAATCTAACAAGAAAATGTTGTAGTCCTTGCCAGGGGGTAATGCCCAGGGGACATACGAGGAGGCCAACAAGGATGAAAACAAGGAGAAGAACAGATACCCCAACATTCTTCCCTGTGAGTGTACTTTATGTTCTGTAGGAACTAGGTTTTCTTTTGACTCACACCCAGAGCGAGTTTCCTGCCTGTGCGCACGTGTCTTTATGAGTCTTTTTTTTTCAGATACAGATCCTCCCCCAACAGCTCATATTTATTCACAATGAAAACCCTCACCCTTTAGAGTTTCCTCACCCTTCTTCCTTTTTACAGTTCCTATCACTCATCTCTGTCTCATTAATAATAATAACTACATAATTTTTAGTACCTATACATTCTGATCCTTCAAAGAATAGAGTTGGACAAAACATGCATTGGATTTCTTGCCAAGGGTTAGATGAAAAGAATGATACCACTCTCACGTCTCTGCAGTATATGTGCGGATGGTGTCAGCAGTCGATTAGCTTAGCTTAGCATAAAGACTGGAAATGGAGGGGACACAGCTAGCTATTTTAAGTCTAACAGTAACAAAATCCAATGATTGCTGCTCCAGGATGTTTTTTAGTTTTGGACAAGATAACTTATCCCCATTGTTTCCAGTCTTTATGCTAAGTTAAGCTAACCGACTGCTGGATGTAGCAACATTTTTACCATACAATCATGACTCTTTGCAAGAAAACAACATTTTGAAATGAAGTAAACATTCCATTTTGTTTAAAGTCAAACAATTCCTTTAATGCTCTGTATAGTACCTGTCTAGTGTTTAATCAGAGTGTGGTTACAGACTCTTTGTATTGTTTTTTCACTGTAAACATTCACTTCTAAACATTCCAATTTTCACCAACAGATGATCATTCCAGGGTGGTGTTGACTCAGTTGGATGTAAATCCCTGTTCAGACTATGTGAATGCTTCTTACATTGATGTGAGTTATGCTTTTTTTTGTTTTTCATTCTGTTGGGAATGGTTCGTTCATTCATTTGTAAAATGTCATCACTAACTAACTTAATATTCTTTTCTGACAGGGTTTCACCGAAAAGGCCAAATTCATCGCAGCACAAGGTATGACACAGTGGACTTGACATAATGACATACTAATTATTTTGATGACTTGATTATTAATTTCATGTCTAACTAAATCATTTCTTATTATAAGAATCACTGACCCTTTGGCTTACAGGTCCAAAAGAAGAAACTGTTGCAGATTTCTGGAGGATGATATGGGAGCAGAAAGTAGCAACTGTTGTCATGCTGACAAATCTGAAAGAAAGGAAAGAAGTGAGTGATTTTCAGCCTTTTATTTTAGATTTTGTTTCATTTTATTTGTTTCTTAAATGTGTCTCAGCTACCCAGCTGAAGTGTCCATGAAAAAGATAACGCATTCCTATGAGCTCCAGGGTTTCTTCTCTAGCAAAGTCTCTGCTGCGACTCTGAATCTCTACAGGGATCAATGGAGCGTCAGAAAAAGAAAGAAGAAATGTGCTCAAAGGGATTTCATTGGTTATGGTCAAAGGTGGAACCACAGCGTTTAATTTTTCACACCTGTAATCTCCCCTCTGACATCTCTATTCTCTGCTATAATTGCATAGTTTTTATTGTGAACCAGAGCTCATTCAATAAACAATGAGAATGGAGAAAGGCTAAAAAGATCAATAAGAAGATAAATGGTGAAGATTTAAATCAGCATGTGGACAGGTTGAAATCAATGGCTACATAATGTGTTATAAGTCCCCTAACGAAGTATCATAATCACCCAGCGCAGTTTTATATTGAGTGGTTTCACATCACTAATCGGTATAGACTGGCTATGAAATTGAACAATGTGTACTTCTGCATTTGAACCACTTTGTCGCTTGAAAGTCCTCAAGTATGTAACAGAAAAACTGCTCCTTTTTAGGTATTTAATTTATTAAATAATTGCTGTAATTTCCCCCCAGGACAAGTGTTACCAGTACTGGCCAGATCAGGGCTGTTGGACCTATGGGAATGTGAGGGTGGCAGTAGAAGACTTCACTGTCCTTGTGGACTACACCATACGCAAGTTCTGTGTACAATATGTAAGTATTAATAATTGCTTATGTAGTTATTGTGCTTCATAGAAATTGTAATGATGATAACAGAAGAATGGATTGCGTCTGTGAAACATTTCTGCATGTTGTATCATGTCAAATTCAGTTCCTTTTTTTCCAACTAGACCATTTATAAATTCTAAGAATTTCTAAGAATAACTTCTGAAAAAATATTGCTCTAGGGTACAGAATATGTATCCAGATCAATGAGTAGAAGCTGTTGCTACTTTGAAAATGGTTCCTGTTGAAACCGAGATGTGTCAAAAGATTGTCCTGGGGCATGATCGTGTCTGTTGTGTCTTAAAACTTGCTATGCGGGTATTGTTAACTTAACTTAACTGCATTTGTGTCTCTGTGTAGCAAGCCAGCGATGCCGCCAAAACCCCCAGACTAGTCACCCAGCTCCACTTCACCAGCTGGCCCGACTTTGGAGTTCCTTTCTCCCCCATCGGCATGCTCAAGTTCCTCAAAAAGGTCAAGGCGGTCAATCCACCCTTCTCTGGCCCTATTGTGGTCCACTGCAGGTACCAGAACACTGAACTAATGGGTCATTATTTTGTTGTCCACTTGGATCTACGTGCTTTTGACAGAAAATTGCCTTTAATGGTTCTAATTATCCAATTGGTTTCTCTGGAGATAAATATGTTCAGGCATAAATATCCGCTTTGTGTGTCTGCAGGAAAAAAAAGAGCTATGGCTGGAAAAATTTTGAGTGACTATAGCAATACATGTGTTTACAAGCACAGATGTCTCTTTGTTTCACTCCTGTTGTCCATTAACATGCAAGCATCAGCTGAGGATTGTGGTTTATTCAGTCTGTGGTTTGCTTTGTGTCTCTGCAGCGCTGGTGTTGGGAGGACAGGAACCTTCATCGTAATAGACGCCATGATCGACATGATGCACGCAGAGCAGAAAGTTGATGTGTTTGGGTTTGTCTCTAAGATACGAGAGCAGCGCTCACAGCTCGTTCAGACAGATGTGAGTTTGAGACAGGACAAGTTCTTACTTGTCTATCATGTCAGCCACCAGTACACTAATACTTGACAGCTAATGTGTGAATTATCAGTGTTAATTATCTCTGTCATTCATCTGTGAATGTTCAAGTCTACCGATGCATAGTGTGTGTTCATCTGTTTGTGTGTGTTCTCACCTCAGATGCAGTACTCATTCATCTACCAGGCCCTGCTTGAATACTACCTCTATGGCGACACGGAGTTGGACGTGTCATCTCTGGAAGGACATCTGCACAAACTGCACAACACCTTTGCAAATGGTGACCGGGTCGGCCTTGAGGAAGAGTTTAAGGTAAGACCTCTTCAAGTATTTAACACAACTGCTGACAGAAAACCATCTAAAGCAAGAGATTTGTGCATTTTCAAGTTTGTAACACTTTGCTTACTTGATTTCTGCCCAGAAACTGACCAATATGCGAATAATGAAGGAGAACATGAGAATGGGGAATCTTCCAGCCAACATGAAGAAGAACAGAGTTCTGCAAATTATTCCATGTAAGAAAGAAGGAAAACCACAGAACAAAAATATATTGGATGCCTGTTCAACTCATGGCAGATGTTTACCTTGGTTTGTATACCTGAAACTCTAAATGGTTTTGAGAGTTTCCTTTTCTCTTCCCATTTCAGATGACTTCAACAGAGTTATTCTCTCCATGAGAAGAGGTCAGGAGTTCACAGATTACATCAATGCATCTTTTATCGATGTAAGCATATTTTATTATTGATTTCTTTCATTCTTGCATTTATAGCTGAAATAGTTAATAGGTATTGCCATTAACACACAATACTGGACCTATAAAGCTGAAGAAGTGTGTGTTTTGCTGTGACTCAGGGCTACAGACAGAAGGACTACTACATTGCCACCCAGGGCCCTCTGCTACACACAGTAGGGGATTTCTGGAGAATGGTGTGGGAATGGAAATGTCACTCTATTGTCATGCTCACAGAGCTCCAGGAGAGGGAGCAGGTAAGCTGCAATAGCTAATGACTGAAAGCAAGCTATGATTGATGGCTTCAATAACCACTACAGCTGTTCTGACTTCCTGCTTCTGTCACAAAACTGTACTTTTATGGTGGCGCATATGTAAGGGTCATATGTACAATTTATATATTTTTATATATATATTTAGGGGCGGCTGTGGCTCAGGAGGTAGAGCGGGTTAGCTGTTAATCGGTTCAATCCCCGGCTCCCCCTGGTTGCGTGTCGAAGTGTACTTGGGCAAGATACTGAACCCTGAATTGCCCCTGGCGGCTATTCCGCCAGTGTATGAGTGAGTGTGAATGTTAGTTTCCGTTTGAGCACTTAGGCTCAGTGTATGAATGTGTGTGACTGGTGAATGCAGATGTAGTGTAAAAGCGCTTTGAGTGGTCGAAAAGACTAGAAAGGTGCTATACAAGTACGGAGCATTTACATTTACATTTATAAATCTGCAGTTTCTATTTAACTTACAGGCTGTAAACAAACACTTATTTCTGTTCTTGCAGGACAAATGTTTCCAATACTGGCCCACGGAAGACTCAGTCACCTACGGAGACTACAGAGTAGAGCTGAAGGGAGACACTTTGTGTGACACCTTCAGTCTACGAGACTTGGTACTCACCTTTGTCCCGGTAAGCAAATTAACCTTGCACTATCACACAGCTGTTAATGAGACAGTAACACCAGATTACATTTGCCTGTCAGGATGAAAAGGCATTTATTGGATCTCTTGATGTAATTCTAAAGAGCATTTTGTTCTTGGCCAGGGGATATAAAGTTATTCTTTGGCACTGTATGACTGCAACAGCCAATAAGATTAATTGTATGATAAATCACAATAGAGTCACTTGAACATTATTTTTATTTTTGACTTCCTGTGGTGGAATAATTTTTCAATTATAATTTTTTCCCCCACTTACTCAAGTACAAGTGTAGATACATCAATGTAAAAACACTCCATTAAAGGTAAAGGTCTGAATTCTGAATCTTGCCATTATTAAAACATTGACTTAAAGTATCATAAGTAAGTACTTTTTCTACAGAGAAATGGTTGCTGGTTGAGATGGAGTTGGTTTTAACTACTTTATACACAGCAAGGCAGTTTAGTCCAGTGTTTCCCATACTAGTGTCTGGGCCCCCTAGTGAGTTATGAAATTATTAATGGAGTTGGAAAGATGAAAAAAACATGTTGCAGGGTTTTTTTTTTTTTTTTTAGTTTTCAGTAATCTTTGCATTTTGTGATTGAATAATTTTACCTTTTTAACCCTTAAACTGTTTTAAAAATTAACGTTTTAAAAATTAACTCTAAAAGTCTAAAGGGGAACTGAACAGTGACAAAGTGTGTTGAGGAGACATTTGTAACATGTGTGAATATTTGAAAATTAAACTTTATTCCTGAATGTAGTAAATTGCAGCATTTTTGTATCTGACTTTGTAAAGCTACACAGGATCTAATAGTCTAATCTTAACAGACATAAACCCCAAATGAGTACATAAAACTATTTTGCCTGCCAAAAGAAATATGGTAGGATTTAGGATTCTCAAGTGGGAGCCTTCCATCTCATATATTTCATTTAATTCAACCCTCATCACCTGTCAGAGGCTCAATAGTACATTGCTGCCTCGTGCAGTAGCAGTTCACCATTCATCTACTGCACTTAACCTACACTGACATTGCACCTGCCATTATGCTTTCATATACTGCTAATAAATCCTATTTGAAAGGTATTATGATCTCTTGTCTGCCTGTGCATTTCCTCTCAAAGGACAAGCAGACGAGGGTGATCAGGCACTTCCACTTCCACGGCTGGCCGGAGGTCGGCATCCCAGCTGAGGGAAAAGGTATGATCGACATCATCGCCTCAGTGCAGAGACAGCAGCAACAGTCTGGGAACCATCCCATTGTCGTACACTGCAGGTAGCTTCAAATCCCTCTTTTACACTTTTATATATTGGCATAGTCATATTTGTGTCTGCGGCAGCATTTTGCTTTTGATAGCTTATAACAGTAAGATTTTGTATTTGCAGGTCACGGTTCATGCTTGAATTCATTTCTAAGAATCTTTGTGTTTGTTTGCACTGCAGTGCTGGTGCAGGGCGAACAGGTACGTTCATTGCACTGAGCAATATCTTGGAGCGAGTCAAGGCAGAAGGCCTGCTGGACGTATTCCAAACTGTGAAGAGTTTACGTATGCAGAGGCCTCATATGGTCCAAACGGTGGTATGTATCAACAGAAGTGGGTCCTAAGTAGTGGTGTGCAATATGTATCATCTACAATAATATCTTGCTTGTTTGAGCGATATGCAAGTAGACAGTATCAAGTAAGCTACATCACTTACTTTGCAAAAAAAAAAAAAAAAAAACTCAAAAACACCTTGTCCACTCAGTCACTGTCATGCATGCAGCACACATGTGCTAGAGTAGAATAGGCAATAGTTGCAGAAAAATTCATACTGAAGTTAACAAACAGCCACCACCAGCCTCGCAATCTACATCGTTAGATAAAATTGCTAGACGTGAACCACCCTCACTTGCTTGGAGGTGGGTAGGCTTTGAAAACTCTGTCGAAAATCAGTTGTCATTAAGAACCATGAACTAATTACTTTAGAAGAATATCAAGAATATGAAAAGCTTCCTACAAGCCTAAACCAGCCGAGGTACCCACACAAAACAATCTCCATTTCATACACTGCTACAATGAAGACAGAATCAAAGCACCTAAGACAACAGCTATGACAGAACTCATGTGCCAATATACTGTGCACCCATTCACACAAACACACACTCCATCTCTTCCTCCTCTACCACACACACACACACACACACACACACACACACACACACACACACACACACACACACACACACACACACACACACACACACACACACACACACACACACACACACACACACACACCTTTTACAAACAAATTTTTAAAGGATGCCAAATATCATCTAATTTTCATTATCGATAAAATCCCAGAAAATATGTAGATATAATTTTTTGTCCGTATCGCACACCCCTAGTCCTAAATAACCCAAAGAGCCTGTTTCCTGCTTTATCTCGACTGAAACCGACTTTACAGGCTACCACCTAATCCTAATTTTGTTTCTCTCTTTATTCCACAGGAACAATATGACTTCTGCTACAGGGTGGTACAAGACTTTGTCGACATTTTCTCAGACTATGCCAATTTTAAATGACGAGATTTGCCTTAAACATGGTTTTTAATGTTGTTTTCTAAAGCTGGTTTGTCAGTTTTATGTGTTTCTTTAACTTGGTCAAATTATCTATTTTGCTATGCACTTGTCCTACCATTAACTGAAAATCCATACTCGCTGTAATATATTGTATGTCAGTGGATGAAAAATGTAAATGAAAAAGTTAGATTATTAATGTATATTTCACATCATGTATGATAATTATTTTGTCATGAAGTGTTGTTTCGAACTTGGTCTCCTATTTCAGTTTTGTTGTATAATACTGTACTTTAAATGTTGATCTGTTATTTTGGATTGACCACGTAATATTTTTAAGTTGTAGTTATTGTAAATGTATTTATGTATTGATGATGACATTCCATTCTTGAGTTTGGAGAACATGATGGGAATGTTAAGAGTTTATATTTTATTGTAAACATACAGTACATTCTTTCAGTTATTGATGCCTTCTATCTGAGATTAGAGGCGATATTTAAACTATTTTTCATTGTCCTCAAGCTACATGCCCATCACGAATGTGATACTCTTTCCAATGGAAATATTGTCAGAAATAAAATTAATTGCTTCAGCCATAATACAGAGAACGTTAAGTTATGCAACAGAGGCCCAGGTGACGACACAGGGGTTGATGTCCAATATGGATTCAGGCAGTTTCACAGTTAGACGTATCATAGACTAGTGAAACACCATTAAACTGGTTTTGTACCTCATAAAAAGTGGTATGCAACTGCATTTAACATGGATGTAACATTACTACAGTCTGCCTTTTGTCTGTAGACAGCAAGTATTTTGCTAAAATGACTGCACATTAAAAAGCACATATAGCTACGCCTTTTGCCAAGAACCTGCAATATTCAATAGTATGTTTATTGCTTTGTTTGTATCACAGATCAAATGATATCAGTGCCATATGTACATTTTTAAGACATGGAAAAGTAGAACAGCCCTAAGTTGAAGGCTGAACAGCGATCCTAAAAAATAAAAAGTTAAGTGTGGTCGCTAAATGCAGTAGAGCCAGTGAAATTTCACAATGTGTCAAGTCCATAGTTAACCCAAGAAAGTATTAAGTGTAACATTAGATTTGTTCTGTAATGACAAAAACCACAATACACACGTGGTGCTTCAGTGCCTGCTTAATGCCAGAGCAACAAACAAACCACCCCGTACTATCAGTGTTCAGTTACATTGTATGTTTTGGAATACATACTGTACGTTGGTTTTTTCACTTGGGTCAACATGAGGAACCAGAATGCTTCATTGAAAAAGTGTGGTACATTCATTCATAGGAAAGTATCTGAATGTGAAAGTTTTGCTGTGAATTTCGGCTGAGGCAGTAACCCCCATCCATCTGGTACTCCAACATTAAACCAAACATTTGGAATAATTTGACCTAGCTCTGCTTTAATCCTCAATAAGATGTGTAATTTTGTTGATGCTGTATGTAAATACTACATGACAAAGTGCTAGCATTGTGAAAGTTGCTGATCAGTAAGGAACTGTCAAGTGATTGGTCATATTTTGTGTGCTATTTGTGGGAGATGTGAGGTGCAGCAGAAGAATTTTCCCCATGGCTTCTTTTCTGTCTATACCCATCCTTTTGAGAATATTGAGGAGGGTCTATATAGACTATAGCTCTTTGCCTTTGCTCTGTCTGTGGGTGGTCTATCCCTTTTTGGATTCTCAATGTCTTTGAAATGCAAGTTGCAATATTAAAGTCATCTGAAAATGCTTTGGGGGTTAGTGGGAGTTTTCATCCAATGTCCTTGCTAGCATTTAAAAAAAATTGTATAAGCTGTTGCACAGTGGCGCAGCCTGTAATATCAACTTTGGGTGAAACATTCAGTGGACTGTTCAAGCCACTGCAACTATAGATATGATTCATATAAACCACACACTGCATACACTCTTTCACATATAATGATATCCTAACCCAAACAGTGTATTGAGAAAGGCGCGTGTTAGTTGTAAATAAACTTAAATAAATTTTTTTAGTATCAATTAATCTGACAATGGTTTAGCCTAATTGGTTGATCATTTGGCCTACAAAATGTCAGAAAATAGCAAATAAAATGTCTGAGCCCAAGTTGACGTCTTCGGATGTCCCGTTTTGTCTGACCAATAGCCCAAAACCTGAAGATATTCCATTCGCTATCAAAGAGGACTAAGAAAGCCAGCAAATACTCAGATTTGAGAAACTGGAACCAGTGATTGTAATTGGTATTATATTTACTCATTTGGCAGACGCTTTTATCCAAAGCGACTTACATTTGAGGAACAACATACAAGCATCAACAGAGCAATACAGATCTACAACTGACAATACATACTAGTGAGAGCAGCAGTATTATGAAGGGCCCATTAATGGCCAGTATGACCAAGAGCAACGATTATTTAAATAATGAATTGAATGTTCATATGGGAACCTGACTATTGTTTGAAGGCAGACTTGAAAGATTGTGAACCTATGCTTTAGGTTCAACTTAATTTTGTTTCAGACTCAAAACAAAGTTAAAACTGCTGTATAGTAGATTTGCTTCTTTTGTTTATCTCTCTAGTTGTGTGTATTCATCAATGCTGGAGACAGCCATAGTAAGTACACTGCAAGAGTATGCAGTAAAAAACATGGTATGAAGAGTATGAAAACACGGTATTAAATACTAACAGGAACAGAGAAAATACAATAACATGGCTAACTAAAGGTAACATGGTTGAAAACCCCCACAACTGACTGTATTAGAATAAAAAACAACAGGAAAACCTCAAACTAATTCAAATCATGCACAGTAACAGAGGTTAGTTTTTTTCTGTCTCAAACACTCCTGTTTGCACAATTACATTCTGTCCAATGAAAACAACTAGAAATAAGTCACAGCTGCAGTTTGAAGACTGTCAGCAACACTCACCCCATTAAATTGCAACTAATATCAGCAGTTGGCCAAAGTTGTAGTGGTTGTGACCTAACACATTAAGACTAAAGGCAGTTTTCTTAGTACTAGTTACACCAGCAGGGGGCAGTGCATCTCAATCTATATGCAGATAATAAATTCTTTTAATTAAAGAGTAAATTCAACTGAATTTTTGTATGTCATAATTTGGTAGTTTCAGTCTATCCTTAGGCTGACCACCAGACTTATAATGAGGTCCTACAGAGACAAATGCTGAAGCTGCTCTATAGATGGTACAACAGCTCCTACATATCTTAATTAATTAATAGCAAGCAGAGTGAGTTCTTACTACATATTTGAAGAATTCCTTATTTAGAACTATTCTTAACTATCTAAAAAAAATTAAATTGTTAGTTAAATAGTTAACTCATGTTGAGCTGGAATCAAAAGTTTCACATCCACATAGATCCAAATGATCTCTTCTGTACATAAGACTGCTTTCCACTAAATGTGACATTTCTACAGAAAGTTTTTAGGGCACCAAAAGCAGATTGATGATTATAACACAGGCAAGAAAGTTCCTCTTTCAGAGTGTCGCAACATACAGAACAAAAAAAATGCATCCCCTATTTCCAAATATAAATGTGTGATTACAAAAAGCTTTTATCCATGTGATTGCCACTGGTCAATAACAGGGAGGAATACAACTGAGCTATTTTTGCCAAACAATCATGTTTCTTATTTTGCAGAAAAACCCAAGTAACAAAAAGCGTCTTTGTTGACAATTTCCACTTCCTCTGGGACCCGGTGTCATGGTAACACTCTCCAGGGGGGAGGGCTGTAGCCCAAAACAAGGTCAGCATGAGTGAAGAGGTCATATGAATTATGTATTAACCCTAACTGACTCTAATTTTTATTGACCCCTAACTAATTATATTTTGTCTTTCATAAGGCTTTCCATTTTCTTTATAATATGGAACATGAGCCTTTTATTGGCAGGGTGGCCTGCGCTGTGACCCTTCTGCTGAAATGCTTTCATGTGTGGCTTCGTAAACCAATTTCTCATTACACAGTGTATGTGTATTTCAAGCAAAGCCTTTTTTCACTTGTTCTGTCATTTTTTCCTAAACATTACACATTTCACTGTCTCCTGAACGGAATAGGGTTTAAGGTTCAATAAGACACAAATGCATAAGTATCAAGTAGGCTATTTGGGACTACAAACGTAGCATTATCACATGGAATCCATCTTTTACATTTGTACAGTACTGACAAATTTGGAAAAATGTATTTAAAGAATGCTGTTAAGAGCTAAACTTTGTTTTAACTAAAACAGTGTGCCAGAGTTTTTCCCTTTCATTCACATTTGTTCAAGGTGAATCAATCCACACACACACTTTATAATTATGGCCCGAGCATGAAAAGCACGAGGTCCCTATTTAAACTGAAGGGATTTTCTTTCTTTCTTTCTTTCTTTCTTTTGCAAAGTAAACTCAATTTTGGAGGCCTAAACATGCTCAAAAACTCACCAAACTTTGTACATAATTCAGGCGGGGCGAAAAATTTCGTATTTGATGGGTTTCTTGCATAGGCGTGGCAAAATGGCTTGCTAGCGCCCCCTACAGAGCAGCTCCCGGACAAAGTTTCACCTACGTATACAAAATTTCTGTGGTACGTGTATCATGTGCATACATACAAAAAAGCCTCTTGGCGCGATGCCCGACACCCAACAGGAAGTCACCCATTTTGGATTTAATGGTCATTTTTGTCGATTTACACACTTTGTACTTTAACGAACTCCTCCTAGGGAATTAGTCTGATTGAATGCAAATTTTCGCTGTGCAGTCTAAACCCATTGACGATTAAAAGTTGTTCAAACGGTTATTACCTGTCAACCAGTGTGCCCGTGGTGTGTCGTCAAAAATTGATAATTCGCCATGAAACAGGAAGTTGTTATAACTTCAGTATACACGCTCACATCATCAAACTTGTGAGTTTGCAGTTAATGGCGTGACGGTGGCGTGGCGGCGAAGGTCCACGCTTCGCCAGGACACCGGAAGTTGTTGTAACTTGACTCTACATGCTCAGATCTGTACCAAATTTTTCATGTTTAATAAGAGTCCCACCGTGAACACATGTATATGCCAACATTCACCCATAGTCATAGCGCCACCTGCTGGCCACAGGAAGTGACCTTTAATGAACCAGCCCCGGCAGCATGTTTCACCTACATGAATGAGTCCAGACTTACCAAAAAGCCTCTTGGAGCGATGCCCTAAACCCAACAGGAAGTCGGACATTTAGAATTTTATGGTCATTTTGGGATGATACTTTAACAAACTCCTCCTAGGGATTTAGTCCGACCAACTTCAGATTTGTGTTGTGCAGTCTAAACCCATTGACGATTAAAAGCTGTACAAACGGAGAGTTTTCGTGCCTGTGCCGTGGTGTCTGTAATAGAGGAAGTTGTTGTAACTTCAGTGTACATGCTTACATGTGCACCAAACTTTACACGGTTTATAAGAGTCCTGCCCTGAATACGTCAACAAGCCAATATTCACTCATAGTCACAGCACCAGCTATTGGCAACAGGAAGTGACTACTTCTATGCTGTGATGAAGCACTTCTTGCAGCTTGGCTTTATTTACTATAATAATAAACTATTTCAGAAAACCCTTAATAAATTGATGATGTCATGTTATAAAGCATGTGAGTTTTCCCTTCAACGGTGTGGCAGCGAAGTTCCATGCTTCGCAATGAAACCGGAAGTTGTCACTACTTCACTGGACATGCTCAAATCTCTAACAAAATTTGTGTCCTTGATAACAGTTCCGCCCCAAACACATCTACATGTCAATATTCAGTTATAGTCATAGCGCCAAGTGCTCTGTAGCGCCACACAGGGGACACAGGAAGTGTGTCCTCAAGACACAGAAGTGCTCCTCAAGCAGATCATTTGTGGCTCTTGCTAGAAAAGATGTTTGTTTTTGCTGATACAGGACCAAAGGTCCACAGCTACGCTAGCTCAGTGAGGCTATACATAGGCACAGTGAGGCTTTAAACTAAATGTCATTCAGCATGCAAATATGCCCACATTGACAATGCTAACATGCTGATGTTAAACAGGTATAATGTTTACCATGTTCACCATTTTAGTTTTGCATGTTAGCATGCTAATATTGTGCTAATTAGCATTAAACACAAAGTACAGCTGAGGCTGATGAGAATGTCATTAGTTTTGCAGGTCCAGGTCAAATATTGGACAAATTGGAATTTTGACCTGATGATGGTGATAGATAAAAAGTTAGGGGATTTCCAACGTTTTTTGAATTCATTATGTGGTAAACGTGAATGTGTGAAACAAATTTTATTGCAATCCATTCAATAGTTGTGGAGACAACCATTTCATAAAAAAACACTAATGTGAAATTTGTGGAGGTGTTGGAGGATAAGTCAGGATGTCACCAAAGTCATCCCCTTGGAACCATAAATGTATTTACCAAATTTCATGGCAAGCCGTCCAATAGCTGTGTAGTATACACACAGAAAACTGAAACACTCCCTGTATCTGCAGAAAGTTATAAGAAAAAAACAAAAAAAGAATTGTTAAAATTTTGTATGCTACAAAAGTGTGGATTTTAAGATCTCAACCTGACCATGTTAGCACACTCTTTTCTCTTGCCTCAGCGTGGTTGTGGCTGATTAAATGAGACAGGCACAGGGTAGAACATGGAGATTTCGCCATTAACATACTAAAGAATGAACCGGAGATCCTGTCTGTCGTCTACTTCACATCTCTTAAGTCACTGGCTTGATAATGACTTGTTGTTCTCTCAACCTCTCT